TTAGGAAGGAAGGAAGGAAGGAAGGAAGGAAGGAAGGAAGGAAGGAAGGAAGGAAGGAAAGAAGAAGGGAAGGAGGGAGGGAAGGAAGGAGGGAGGGAGGGAAGGAAGGAGGGAGGGAGGGAAGGAAGGAGGGAGGGAGGAAAGAAGGAGGGAAGGAAGGAGGGAGGGAGGAAAGAAGGAGGGAAGGAGAGAGGGAAGGAAGGAAGGAGGGAGGGAGGGAAGGGAGGGAAGGAGGGAGGGAGGGAAGGGAGGGAAGAAGGAAGGAGGGAAGGAGGGAGGGAAGAAAGGAAGGAGGGAGGGAAGGGAGGGAGGAAGGAAGGAGGGAGGGAAGAAAGGAAGGAGGGAGGGAAGACATTTATTATTTACGTACAAAGAATCACGCTCAACGCTGACGAGGCAGATAGAAAATCAGAAGAGTGGAAATGCCCCGCCCCCAGGAGCTCATTCCTACCCTAACGGGAGGATAACGGGAAGGGTCGTGTCAGCCGCAGGCCGGGTGGGAGGGTCCCTGGGGCGCAGGGATGCTCACACCTCTCCTTGAGCGCCTCCTTGAATCTGCCGCTGACCCAACCATCAGACAGTGCCACGGACTTTGATGTCATGGTCTTCAGTGGCCGTGGCTCGTGTGGAGGCCGGGGATGCACCGTCCACAGTGGTGCTTGCCAGCTCCCCTCCCCCTCCACAAGGGAAGGATAACAGCTTCAGAGCTTCTAGTGGGATCAGGGCTGGTGGTCTGGAGAGAGCAAGGCCAGTCCTGGGGCCTGAAGGCTTATCTGCCCATCAGGGGTGAGTGCTCACCGTGGCGAGGACGGCGGGCCCCCTTCTGCCCGTTCTCCACTAGGGGAGTTGGGGCTGCTGTCAGAGGCTCGTGTTGGTGTGGGCATCATCCTGGCAGGGCTGAGCTGAGGGTCCTGCCTACGGTGAGCAGCTGTCATCAGGGTCTTTGGGGTGCTGATTCCTCAGAATCCCCCGGTGGCGGGCAGCCCACAGCTGAGAAGCCAGAGGAAGACCCTAAACAGAAGCGTCTTACAGAGATCGTGGTAAGATCATCCTTCAGCCTCGGCTGCCCCGGGACAGCTGTACCCCCACCCCCACTCCTCGGCAGGAGAGGACGCGGAGACAGACAACTTGCTCCAGACTCCAGACTGTGCCTCCTACCCTCCCCCCAGGGACGGCCTGACAGCCCACGGGTCAACCTCCCTCCCCTCAGGGAATGGGGAGGATCTGTGTCGCAGGTGTGCACAGACGTGAGCACGTCTCTCTGAATGTGTGTGAGTGTGGCTGTGTGCGTACAAGGGTGAGGGGGGCCCTGTGCTTAGGAGGTTTGTGCTGTGGGGAAAAGGTGAGGATTTGGGAGGTTGTTGCTGTGAGTACGTGTGCCTGCCTACACATTGGAAGTGTGTTTGTGAAGGCCAGGGCAGTGGAGGGGATGTTCCTGTGGGTATAGGGATGGTGTGTGTTTGGGATATGAGTGTATGGGAAGGAAGTGTTAGGTGCCCACGCATCTGTGCATATGCCTGGGGGAGGAAGATCAAGGTGAGGGGTGTGTGTGTGTGTGTGTGTGTGTGTGTGTGTGTGTGTGTGTGTGTGTGCGCGCGCACGCGCGCACATATATGGTGTATACCTGGGAAGGATGGGGAGGTCTGGGGGATAGGGGATGTTAGGGATGTGTGTATGGATGGGGTGTATAGGGGACGATGTGGGGTGGGCATATGTGTCTGAGGATAGTGTATGTCTGAATGAATGGAAGGCTTATCTGGGATGGATGGATAATGGAGTGAATGGAAGGATTATGGATGAATGAATGAATGAATGAATGAATGAATGAATGAATGAATGAAAAGTACTTACTATGTGCCAAACAGTATTTGGTGTACGGGCACAGGGAGAACTGTGTGGAATGGATGTGTCTGGGATGTGTAGGTATGGGTTGTCTATACAGTGGGGTGGGGTATCTACCTGTAATAGTAATAATAATAATAGCAGCTAGCATTACGTGACACATGAAGGGTTGCAAAGCATTTTACAAATATTTCATTCCCTCCTCACAAGAACCTGGCAAATGGGTGTTATTCTGATTCCCATTTTACAGAAAAGGAAACTAAGAGACAGTCAAAAGTTAGGTGACTTGGCCAGAGTCACCTAGCTAAAAGTGTCTGAGGCTGGATTTGAAGGTGAGAGTGCAAATGTAGGGGTCGGGGATGGGACAGTGGCATGTCTTATGGGTAGGTGTCTGCAGTGTATGTGTGTGTGTGTGTGTGTGTGTGTGTGTGTGTGTGTGTGCTCGCCCGTGTGCCTGCCTGGAATATGTGTGTATGGGAGGTAGGGTCTGTGTATAGTGAGCATTTTTCTGTGCATGTCTGGGGAAGACAGGGATGGTACATGTGTGCTCTGAGTGTGTGCGTCTGTATCTGCATGTGTGTCTGCCTGGGAGCTGTCCATACGTGGGCATGCCTGTGTGCAGTGGAGGAGGGGACCTCTGAGTGTGTGGATCTGTCTGTGGGCTTGGGAGCATGTCCAGCCCCTCCCTGAGCCAGGGGAGGGAGGGGGGAGGGACGGAATGAGGAGGGGGAGGAGAAGGTTGGCTCCAGACCCCACAGGCCTCCCAGCTCCATTCTTTCTGCTGCAGAAAATATTTGCTTTTTTCCACGACTCGTAATTTTTCTCCCCTCAATAACTACCAGATGTGGATTCTGTGGTCTCCCATCCCCATGGCAACCAGAGGCTCCCACCACAGGTCTGCATGAAAGCAGGGCGTCCCATCGGGCCTGGC